CTGTGACAACAGTGTGGTAGATGGCGTTCCTGTTTGGCGGTGTCTTACAGAACAGAGGGCGTGGCTGGGACCACACTGGAAAGGCCCTTCCCGCTGGCTGCCCAGGCGGAGGACTTGGGAGACTGTCTTTTCGGCAGAGTGGGGCAGCAGAGAAGGCTGGAAGCACGGGACGGTGCTGAGCCAGCGGACTTCTGGTAGCTGAGACCCACGGCCCGGAGACGCCATCCCAACCCCCTGAAGACCTGGGAGGGAGACACAGGTGTCCCGGCCTGAAGCCACTTTTAGGAGCCACATCTGAGGCTGATGACAGGGTCTGGAGCCCAGCTGGGTAGAGTAAGTGAGGTTTTGGCATTCATCTTAGGATCCTAAAAGCCATGTTAGCAGTCAGTTGTTCCTGCTCCTTCTGAGGGTCAGAGAAGGTTTAGGGTGGACACCCACGGTAAGTGAAACCTCGGACTCCCGGGCGCCCCTCCCGACAAGGAAGGACAAGGTCTCGAGCCGTCCCGCCAGGGCCCTAGGCTCTCGGCTGCGCTGGCTGCGTCTGCTGACCGAGCGTGTTATAGGACAGACGAGTTCACACCACCTTCCTCCTCTCCAGCCTGATAATTATTCACAGGTAAAAAAAACCCCAGCAGGTCGCGAGCAGGAGGAAACTGTGAAGCCTGCCCCACTTCCAGACACCGTGACGCGGAGGTCAAGGCCCATAGATGGGAGTCAGAAACGCTTCCCCCTTCAGACCGGTTCTAACCGTCTCCACACGGACACCTATAATCACCACCACGGGCCGGGGCCGCCCAGGTGCTTGGTGAGGCCTGTGGCATTCATTTTCTCATTAAAAACCTGCAGGACCTCTGCAAGCTGGGAACTACTATCCCCACTTTACAGACAGGGAGACTGAGGCTGGAGACGTTAACCTGTCCAGAGTCGTAGGGCCAAAGGAGCAGCAGCCCCTGGTGCCCGGCTCAGCTGTTTTGGATTCCACGCTCCCTCCGGAGGCTCTGGGAGAGACTGTTTTCCTCACCTCTCCCAGCTCCTGGGGGCTGCCAGCATTCCTTGGGTTATGGCCGCATCTCTCTGAACTCTGCCCCGTGGCCCCATGGCCTCCTCTTTGGTTTCTGTCAAGTCTGCCTCTGCCTCCCTCTTATGAGGGTACCTGTGACTGCACTCAGAGCCCACCTGGGTAGCCCAGGATGATCTCCTCGTCTCTGGATCCTTAACTTAATCACGTCTGCAAAGACTCTTTCCAATAAGGTAGATTTACAGGTCCCAGGGCTCAGGACGTGGGGACCTTTTGGGGGTCATGTTTCAGCCTTCCACACCATATCTGCCCATTCCTTCCTTCATTTATTCCTTCACAGACCTTAATTGTGTGTCCTGAGCATAGTGCTGGGAGGTAGAAAACCAAAAGAGAAATGACACAGTCCCTGCCTCAGGGACCTCGCGGTCACTATGTGACCTTTCATACCCACTTCCCAGAGGCTCTCGATAAATAACAGGAGTGAGAGATGTCAGGACCGTCACAACAACAGCCAGCACTTCCTCCTGTGGCACTGTGCTGACGTTGACATATAGCAACTCACCTGACCCTCCCAAAAGCCTCATCCGCATCTGCCGGGTGGCTCCACAGTCTGTACTTGTCACCTCTCTGCCCCAACTGCTACAGGAGCACCAGGGAGAGGCAATAAGGTGGGGAGGGTGAGGTCAGGGAAGGCTTCCTGCAGGAGGTGCCACCTGCACCCAATCTGGAAGGACGGGAGTCGGCTGGAGGAAGTGGATTAGGGGAGGGCCGGGAGTGAGCAGGTGCCCCAGGCAGCGGGAGGCAGGAGGAAGCCATGATGCTCCCGGACAGGACTGAGGAGAGACGGGGAACAGGAGATGCCTGGGGCTGCCGAGTAGTTCTCAGCAGGGGATCGACCGGACCAAAATAGAGAATGGGCCAGAATCCCAGCCGCCCCTTCCCTGCATGTTTCCCAGATGCACCTGCTGAGGCTGCTGCAGCTGTTGATCACCTGGAGGAAGGGGAGGAGAGGGGCAGGCTCCTGGCCTTGTCTCTCACCCTTCCCCCAGCAGGGCCTCCTGCCTCCCAGGGGCCACTCCCTTTACCCCGAGGTGCCCAACTGGGCCGTGGTGTGGGTATTCTCCTGCCACATCTGCTGGGGCTGCACTTTGAGCTCTTGAGTCAAGGAGCTGGGAGCCCTGGGGTTCTGGTCCCAGGTCCACCTCTAACGACCTGGAAACCTTGTGAATCGCACCATCTTGGAGGGTCCTTGTAAGGGCTGAGCGGGCCCTTCTGGGCTCCCAGAGCCTGCGCACTTGGTCGTGGCTGCTCTCCTTTCTCTGTCCCCTGCCCCACATACAGGTACCACATGGGCACTCAGCAAAAAGAACTGACAACCCAGAGAAGTGCCCGCGCAACACAGCCAGTCCCAAGCCCAGGTCTGGTTGGGGAGGCAGGCGTCCATCAAACCATCCCCCAACAGAGGGAAAGTGGCCTGGGAAAGCAGAGTCAGGGGTGGGGGAGGGCCCCCCGAGGAAGAGACTTTGGCATTTGGCGTGACCCTGTCTTTTGGGAGAAGAACCACAAATCTGGTTGTGGGCTTCAGCCCTGGTTCACCTGGAATTTATTCACGCTTGGATCTGAGGCCCCACCTCTGCCAGCTGAGGTGGGTGAGGCCTTCCAGCTCCCCTGGTCCCCCATGTTGGGGGATCTGAGAGCCATTCCTGCAGCTCCCAACAGAGGGTGGCCCCAGCCCCTGCCAATCTCCCTTCTGTGCTGAGCCTCTGGGGTGAGAGAAAATGGGCAGGAGCTGACTTGGCAGGAATGACGATGAGGGTCCCAGGGGCAGGCAGCAGCACCCCGCTTCCACTTCCTACTCCCCCCGCAGGCTTGCTGGGCCCCCAGCAGCCAGCCTCTTCCCTCCCTCCGGCTCACACCCATTCTGTCCTTCCGCTTCCTCCTCCATTTCACAGGACAGGCGGAAGGGGAAGTCATGTCCAGATCCTTTGTCTTCATTAGCTCAAATCTTCAGTTGCCCCCTGTTATTATCCCCATTGTGCAGATGAGGAAACTGAGGCCTGAAAGTGTTAGTTTCTTGCTGAGGAGCATCCAGCCAGCAGGGAAGCCCACACTCTTCCCAGAACTGTCCTGCCCCCGCCCCCACGGCCTCCCCTTCCTGCTTTCCCGCATCGTGGACTCTCCAGTCCTCACGGTCACACGGCTTCTGCCCAGGAGGTGCTCTCGTAGGAATTAAAGGGTCAAGGAGGAAAGCTCAAGGCCAGGTTCGCCCCCGAGCTAGGGCTGGAGAGAAGGGAGCCTGCTGTCCATCAGAGAAGCCACACGGTGGCCTCGGCAGAGGATGCATCTGGAGTTGAGTAGGAAGAACACAGAGGTAGCGACTTAGGCCCAGAGAGGGGAGGCCACAGAGCCCACGTGCAGAACTGGGCCCCAGCCCAGCCGGCACTCGCTGTCGGTGCCCCTACACTGCTCTTGGCTCCTGCAGACGATGGGGCAGATGCATCTCCTTGGGGCAGGGGCTTCCTCTGGACCCTCTCTTGCCTGGAGACCGGGGATTAGAAGGTAAGATGCATCCTGCCCCGGAGGGTTTCCCAGCACGGCTGGGGAGATGGGCATCCTCCCCAGAGACTTATAGGACTAAGCAGGCATCTCGAGGAAGGGACCAGAGCTCAGACTAACAGTCAAGATCGAGTGCCATCAGGGGAGGCTTCCTGGAGGAGGAAACCTCTGAACTGAGGTGGAAAGCATAAGTGGGGTGGGCTTAGCAGAGGCCTGTATTTGAGCTGGGGGCAACTGGTGCTGCAAGGGCCTGGTGTGCCAAGCAAGAAGGCAGAGGGAGGAGAGGGGAGTCAGGCCAGGTCCTGCAGGGCCCCCAGCATGGCTGGGTGTCAGCATGAGGAGCTGTGGTGGAGGCTTAGGTGAGCACGACTTGGGGGAGGCTCAGGTCCAGGCCTGGAGGCTGCTGCCTGTCCTCAGGGCTGGGGTTCTGCCCTGAGCTCTGGGTGTGGCCCAGGGCTGCAGGCATAGGTGAGAGTGGGAACCCAGGGGAAGGAGGGAACCTGCCTCAGGCCTGGGTGTCCCTGGGCCCTGCAACAGGTAGCCTAGGGGGATGCACTTGCTCTTCCTTCCTCCTGCCCCTGGGCTTCTCTTTACCTCTCTGTCCCAGGGTCCCCGCTCCTCCTCTCTGCACCTGTTGTCCCCAGCCCGGAGCTGGCCCCAGAGTGCTGTCTGGCAGGACTGTGTGGTCCTGAGCCTGGAGACTGTACTTCCGAGGCAGCACAGAGCAGATTAAGAGTAGGGAGTCTAGGTCCATCCAGATTTAGACTGGACAGAAATCCTGGCGCTGCCTCTCACAAGCTCTGTGGCCTAGGCTTAGTATTTCAACCTCTCTGGGTCTCAGCTTCCTCGAAGATGAATGTTACAATGGAACACGCCAATGTAGGGAACACCTAGGACACACTGAGCGCTCGGTACTGCTAGGTACCCACAAACGGTAAGAGGGATGGGTTGGCCCTGGGGTAGGGGACTGAGTGGGGAGGAGAGGCTGTGGGGCTCCGGCGCGGGTGGTCCCTAGGCTCAATGCTCATAACTCCATTCCCCAAAGGAGGGGCGGGGCCTTCGGGAAGCCCTGAATTTCCGGGCAATTGTCGCGCACCCGCCCTCCCGGTTTTCCAGGGGAGGAGCCGAGCTCGGAGACGCCGAGGGAAACTGAGGCAGCGGAGGGGCGGCGGGGGCGGCGCGCGGGGGCCGGCGGCGGCGGCGGGGGCGGCTGGGCTCGGGGGAGCGTGGCGCCTTTGTCTGCAGCCTCCGCGCCGCCGGCCCCGGCCCCGTCCCCGCGCGCCCGCCCCGCCCGCCCGGAGCCGCGGGGCTGCGGCGCCGCTGCTGACACGGCTCGGCCGCCGCGGGCGGAGGCTGCGCGTCGCCGACCCACGCGGGCGGGGATGGCGGCGGCGGCGCGGGGCCCGGGCTAGGGCGGCCGGCGCGGATGGCGGGCGGCGCGGGCTGGGCGGGCGCCCCCGCGGCTCTGCTGCGCTCCGTGCGCCGCCTGCGCGAGGTGTTCGAGGTGTGCGGCCGCGACCCCGACGGCCTCCTGCGCGTGGAGCGCGTCGCGGCGCTCGGACTGCGCTTCGGCCAGGGCGAGGAGGTAAGGGGGCCGCCCGCGCCCCATCCCCGGCGCCTCCATCCCCACCCCCCAGCCGGGCCTCCCATCTCTCCCCTCTCCTAGCTTCCCTGCCAGGCACCTGCCCGCTCCACCCGGCAGGCATCCTGCGTGTGCCAAACCCCTTACCCCTCCGAACTGAGGACCTGGGGCCTCGGGGCATCCCCTGCCCTGTGGGACTCTCGCTTTGCACCGTTCGCGCCGGTGCTGCGAGCATCACGCGGCGCCCGGGGTGGCCTCTGTGGCCGCCTTCCCTTCCCCGCAGTGCGGGTCCGGCTGACCGCTCTGCAACCCACAACCCGCTTGTGGTTTGCGAGGAAGGAGTGGTCCGAACCTGGCCTTAGGACCCCCCACCCCTTGCCACCCTGCGGAGACCAAGCCGCAGAGTCTGTGTGCGCGGAATTCCGAGACGTGATGGGGAGGCGCGCGCCCCGCTGGGCCCAGCTAGGGGCGGAGAGGACGAGCCCGGGCGCTCTGCAGCTCGCCTCCTTGCCGGCACCTGCCCAGCCTGGATCACAGACGGAGGCGGCTGCCTGCAGCCCTCCTCGATTGTCGGCCCAGCGCCTGGTGACCCCCGTTCGGGCTCGGAGGGGCAGGCCTGGCTGGCAGCTGGTCGTGTTGGCTGCGGCAGGCCTGCCAGAACCGAGCTTGCAGAACGGCAGCTGAGCAGCGTTTCCTGTGGTGGGCCCGCGTCTATGGGGGCAAAGCAGGAGTTATGTTGGTTGTTAGCAGGGCTGGAGTCAGAGCCAGGTGCTGGCAGTGGGGTGGGCAGAGGAAGGTCATAGATCCCTATAGATCAGTGTCCTCTCATGCCAGGGCCACAGGGACTGGTGACTGTCTGGAGGGGAGGACAAGGCACCCACCTGGCAGGAGAGCATCCCCACCCTCATGCTACTGCCCACTCTGAGATGGTCGGGGGACAGAAGCCTTGAGTAGTGAGTTTCCAAGGCCACCTAAGGCCTCAGGCTCTGCATGGGGAGCATGGGCCACAGGCCTCAAATGGGCAGTGGCTGGCATTGTGTTCCTGGGTCAGCTCGGGCCTAGCATTCCAGAACATGGGAGAAGCCAGGGCATGGCTGTGTTGGATCCGTGCCTCCCTGTCACCTTGCAAGTGGAAGATGATAATCATCTCTCCATGGCACCTGGGCATGGCTGGGACCTGGGAGTGCCTGGAGCAGTAGGTGGACAAGGAGGAGGCAGGTGTCAAGTTTGAGAACTCGGGTCCCCCAGCCCAGGGGACTCACTGCCGCACTTCTCGTTGGAGCCCAGCAAGTCTTCCTCCAGGCCCTGGCCCCCCCACCCCACCCCGTGGGGCTTTGCTCAAAGACGTTTCTTACAGCCGCCATGATCCTTATCCTTCCCCAAAGGCCAGCCAAGCCCATCCCTCATTGGAGACCGACTGAGCAGCCCCCAGCGTGGGGAGAGCCTGCGCTCCCTCCTGTCAGGACACAGGCTGCGGGGAGAAGATGCCTGGCTCTAGCTGGGACCTGACCTTCCAGAACCGTGGAGCCTCGGTTATGGGAGGGGCTTTCGAGCCGTCTGCCCAGCCCTGAGCCCTCAGCAAGTCTCACCGCCTTGTCCCCGAGCTGGACAGCTCCTGTTGTTAGAACCTTCTCCCTCAGACACTCTAGAGCCAAACCTACTTGTCACTTTGTCATTGGGTTCTGCACAGGGACTCACGTGGGTCTCTCTTCCACATGGCAGCCTTTGAATATTTGGAAACAGTGCTCCTGCCCCCTCCCCTCCTTCCACCCGCACCCTCCCATCTGCCCTTCTCCAGGCCAAATACCCTCTGTTCCTGAAACCCCAGGCCGTTTCCATATGACCCAGCAGGGGCCAGCCTCTGGCTTCTGGCCCTGGGACTGCCGTCAACTAATTGTGTGACTCAGTTTTCCTAGTAATAGATCAAGGGGTTGGACCAGGAGACCCCCAGCACCGATCCAGCCTTTTGAGTGGTGCACCACTCTTTCCACTCATATTAAGTTTCTGGCCACTGAAACCCCCAGGATCTTCCTTAGAAAACTTCTTGGAGGAGGGTCAGCGATTTCTTTCTTCCTAAAATGTAAATCGTGTATCATTACAGTAGCAGTTTATAGGCACTACAGGAAATTAGAAATATGGACAAGCAAAAATAAAGTATTATGTTCCCGTCTCCCAGGGAACCCCACTGTGACACCTTGGTGACATCCTTCCAGAGCTGTTTGTCTGCTTATATGTAGATTTTCTCCATAAAATGAGATCATGCTGTGTATGCTACTTTGTAACCTGATTTTTTTCCAGTAGATGATCAGCACTTTTCTGCGTCAATAAATTCTCATCTCATTTAATATGCAGACCTTATTCAGATTTCCTTATTTGGTCCCAAAATGTCCATTATTTTTTTTTTTTTTTTTTGCTGTTTTGTTTAAACCAGCTTCCTCTTCAGAACTGTGCAATGCATCCTATTGTCATGACCCTTAGGTCTCTTATATTCTAAAGTGCGCTTTTTTTTTTTTTTAAATTTTAATGATCCTGACTTACTGAAGAGAGAGGCCCATTGTCTGGGTCAATAATTTCTTAACTCTAAACCTGTTACTTGGACCTTATTGCTATTACATTTCCTCGTGTTCATTTCGTCCCCTGTACCAGACAATTGAGAGAATTTGAAATTCTGCGTCAGTCACTCTCAGATGCTGTGCTGCCTGTAGGTTGGAGAAACGGGTGCTTTTTGTCCGAAGCCGCAAGGCTGATTGTGAACCCAGGGCAGGACCACGGACAGGGCCTTGCCGCCGGTCTGCTCACGCTGTATTCATGACTGAGCCCCACAGAAATACGTTTTGCCTCCCTTCTCGCTACACACCACATTCACATATGCATTATAAAATAGGGATGTCCTTTCCACAGGTGTGGATCCCTTCAAGATGCTGTGCTCAGTTTCTATTTCGTTGGTTTAAAAATCAGGTAGAGACCTTGATTTCCCAACCGCTCTGGGGGGGGGGGGGGGGGGGGTCCTTACCATCCATCAGGTTCAGTGAACTTCTCAGAGCTGTTAGTCACATTTTACCAACTACCCCCAGAATTCCAGGGGGACCAGATTCAAATGCTTTGCAAAAATCAAAATACGCTAGGTTGCAAAGTAGAAAATAAATATCGCTGAGGCCATACAAATATCAATACATAATTGAATGAATGAATAAATAAATACAGGAGAATCTCCTGTTCAGAAGAAATTCAAATAATTTATTTAGATACTTCCCCATCAAGGAGGCGGGGCACAGCTCCTCTCCCTCCGCGTCAGATGTGCACAGTGCGTGCCTTCTGCAGGGCACAGTGTGGGAAGAGGGAGAAAGAGCACCTTTGTAGTGGGGGAGCCTGACAGACACCCCTCAGCCAGGTCACCCGGGCCAGCGTCCACAGTGATAAGTCATGTAGATAGCATGTCCCCTTGATATGATGTGACGAGAAGGGCACTTCACCTCCATGATCTTCCTCCTAAACCCATAACCCAGTCTCATCATGAGAAAAACACCAGACACATCCCAACTGGGGGACAGTCTATGAAACACCTTATTAGGACTCCTCAAATTTGTCAAGGTCATCAAAACCCAGGAAAGTCTGAGAAACTGTCACAGACAAGCTGAGCCTTAGGAGATGTGGTGTCCTGGGTGGGATCCTGGAACAAGAAGAGGATGTTCGGTAAAAACGAAGGAAGTCTGAATCAAGTCTGGACTTTAGTTAATAACGAGGTTGCACGTGTATTAGGTTAGTCTCGATAGTCCCCTAATTTATTGACTTAGGAATCATAGTAGAAAAGAGAAGACAAGACAGTTTGAGGAAAACATGAGTGATGTCAGACACACAAAGCTTGGTGTTTGAAAGAAGGTGAAGCAACACTGCCCGACCCCGAAAGTCTGTGATACTGCAGGGGTGGTACCCTTGTCATATGATGGCCCAGCGCCCTGAACCCGGATTGACTCTGGCGTCTAGCTTTTTTTCCTACTCTCTCTAGGCCTTTGTTTACTCATCCATAAAATGGGGGTAATAATAGTCCCCATTCCGTAGGGTGATCGTGGGGCTTGAGTCAGTTACTGCCTGTGAAGTGCTTAGTCCGGTATCTGCACACAGTAGGCACACTGTCAGAATTGCTGCCACTCCTGTTATTTTTTAAACACTTGCAAGCATCCTTGAGAGGCTGTTCTGGGCTGGGGGTTTCCTGGGGGTTTCGGTCAAGATCTGCAGCCAGTCTCTGGTGTCCTCAACCCGCCCTCCTCGTCCAGCTCTGGACTTCCAGCCCCTCTTGCATCCATCAGCAGTCTAGGAATGGAAGACGCTGAAAGCAGCCAGAGAGATCTTGGGCCACATTCCCTGTTATGTATTCTTCTCCCTTTTCCAATCTGAAGAGCATTCTTGTTGCTAGAAAAATGGAAACAGAAGTAGCTGAGTGGTCTCTGCCGTCCATTCACATAGCACCGTCTCCTCTGGGCAGTGGGCTTGTCCTCCTGCCTGGATGGCGCTCCACACCAACATCCAAAAGGGTGTTGTTGGTTATTTGGGGGAGGTGACTCAGCTTTAGTTAACCTGTGACTAGTCTATCATTTTCCCTTCTTTGTGGCTGCCCCTGGATATGGCCACAAGCAACTGGGGCACCGTGCCTCCTTGTTCACATTGAGCAGGAGATGAAATAAGGGTCTCAACTGGCCTCTCTTAGTCCCCATGTCCCCTCTGGACTAATGGGTATCACGAGGGAGATGTGGCACTGCCTGGGTGTCTGAACTGGCAAAGGGCTTGAGGTGCTAGGATGGACCGAGCCTAGTCAGGGGCAAGCCCTGGGGCTGGGGTCCACCTCTAAGATCCTGGGCTGCCAGGGGCACGAGAACCCTGAACTCAAGCTGGGTTCTGCTCAGAAGGAGGGGGGATTAGATACTGGAGAAGAAGCAGCTGTGTGCCCCACATCTGTGGCTGGAGCTCGGGAGGTGGGCAGGTGACAGGAGGAGACACTCAAGGGG